ACCAGTGCACCCTAGCAAAACAATACAGCGATCGAGGCACGCGGGCCTATTGTTGTAACTCGTCATTACCTTTACTAGCGGTCAATGGTCATAACCTGGGATTTTTGAGACAGCTGACGAACACGTGTTTCTCACCTGTAAATACACCAATTACATCGGTTTCGCCAGTTAATGTCCAGGAATCCCAGGACACCCTTAGAAAAGGAGAAAAAATGACAATCCGTCTTTTTCTACCTTCGCACCAAATTTCGCCACACCCACACCAACAGACACGACCAATCACACTCGAACACACCCTCTCCAATACACACTGCATTCAATATATAAAGACAGAACTTAGACAGACGAGAGTATTGACACAACAGCCAACACGGTCACAGCACAGTATAATAACTCGATATACTTTACATCTTGTAAAATAAAGAACTCAGTAGTACAGCACATATATTCAATATTTCGTTATCTCTTCGATCCTCCGCTCCGAGTATTAGTTTACTCTCTGAGCGCGACACATCCGACCGATCGTCACTTTGGGTCGCAACAATTTCGCATAAACAACCCCCTGCGTCATAGATAGCCGAAGACCCAAACGTGGCCTCACGCACCATGCGTCGCCAGGTCTGTTTATTCTTATGCACCCTCTCTCATATAACACTGCTCGCATTCTATTGGGTTGGCAAGAAAGTAATTTCGGTTTTATAGTGTGAAATAAAACTCATTTTTTTTATACAAAGAATAAACTTTAATCAATTATATATTTTCCATTTTGTTCAATGACCTTTTGCCATCTTTCTTGCAGCTTCATGATTCCGCGCTCATAGAATTTCTGGTCCTTATCAGCTAAAAACTGAACCAAGTGCGACTTAAGGTCATCATCATTTGTAAAAGTTTTACCATTCAAAGAGTTTTGCAAACTTCGAAATAAATGGTAATCAGATGGTGCCATATCAGGGCTGTATGGGGGATGCGACATCACTTCCCAACCAAGCTCCAATAATTTCCCACGAGTTACTAAAGATGTGTGAGGCCTTGCATTATCATGGTGGAACACAATTCCTTTGCGATTTGCCAATTCTGGCCGTTTTTCTTTTATTGCTTCATCCAGTTTCAATAGTTGTTGACAGTAAACATCTGAATCGATCGTCTGGTTTCTTGGAAGTAACTCAAAATACACAACACCTTTGTAGTCCCACCAAATTGACAACATGACCTTTTTTTGATGCAATTCAGCTTTAGATGTGGATTGTGCTGGTTCATCACGCTTGGACCATGATCGTTTTCGAATAATGTTACTGTACATGACCCATTTTTCATCACCAGTGATGATACGTTTCAAAAAAGGATCGGCTTCATTGCGCTTGAGATGCATATCGCAAATATTGATTCGTTGTGTTAAGTGAATCTCTTTCAATATATGCGGAACCCAAATATCGAGCTTCTTAGCGAGTCCAAGACATTTTAAGTGATTTTCAATTGTTGTATGCGATACATTTAACCTCTCTGCAATCTCTCGAACAGTTATGTGACGATCCTCTTCAATTATGGCTTTGATTTGGTCATCATCAACTTCAGTAGGTCGACCAGAACGTTGGTCATCTTTGAGTGAAAAATCTCCAGAAGGGAATTTTTTAAACCAATTCTGACACGTGCGATCTGTTATGCAATCAACACCATAAACTTCACATATCTCTTTGTGGGCCTCAGCAGCTTTCTTTCCTTTACGAAAATAAAAGAGTAAAATATGCCGAAAATGTTCGTTTTTGCACTCCATGTTAAAATTGACCCTGAACTAACAGCTACAAACAAAAATTTGCACAACTTGCTTCTTAAGTAACCTAAATGTGGCTGATATCAAATGTCAAAAGGAAAAAACCATAACGCAGACAGGAGTCCTTCAAAACGCTTACAACGCTATCTATGTGTCACAACCGAAAATACTTTCTTGCCAACCCAATAGAAACCCTATCATAAATTCTCCAACGGTCAATGAACAACAGGCCATCCGCCTTCGACTCCACTTATATAAACCACGATGACGGTAACCGACTGTGTTCGACCGCGCATGTCTAACATATTGGTTTATCTTCATAGTATACATGTTATCTACTGGTACTAACCCTTTCAGCGCTAAGATGTCCGATGACGGGCATGTATTATAGGCTTACTTATTACGATGAAGCGTGTGCGTTGGGCTAGATTAGTTTTCACGTTTGGGTCCTGTAATTTCTAGTTTCAATAAAATATTTCAAAGTACATGGTGTAGAATTTTTCGAACCGCGTACACGGGTTCATATCGTTGAAAAGGGTAAATTGAAGTTAAATCTCTCAGAATGCATTTAGAAGCATACTTATTAGTACAACACGTACGGGATATGTATACATATGTATATTCAAAGCTCGAGGTCACGAGAGACTTCCGCTCACGGTAAATTCTTGTCTTGAGAGCAATTTAATATTTACGCGAGATAAAGTGTATCGTTAGATAATAGTTTCAGGATAACAAAAGTCTATTTATAATGCGAAGGTAGTGATGCATTTATAAGAAAAGTTGATCTTGACCGGACAAGTATGATGGAAGGCTGAGTGGGAAAGTTGAAGGTACGTTGACGCGAGGGTCGATGGATATGGAAGACTCGGATGATTCATAATTCGGTTTTATTATGAATTCTTAGGACAGTAAATTCGATGCACGGATGCACATTTTGATTTTTTACGTTTAATCTGTCTTTTGCTCTCTAAGCACGTAGGTACATGCAATGCACGCATTAACTTAAACGAATAGTTTGAGATTCTGGTGAACGGTTTGCCAGAGCAACCATATGTATATGTGGTGCAGTAAATGTGGACATACCAGTATAGAAATAAAATTTTGTCATGCGAATAACAAATTAAAAAATTACATAGATTTAAGAAAAAATAATATAAGACTCAATAATCTGTGGCTGTGAAGTTTTGCTCTATCTCGAGAGGGTACAAAGGGATATCCAACAAAACGAAAAAAAGCAAATACCTACTTTTAAGAATTAATTTCGCCCTATCGGTATGAATTTCCGATGTAAAAAATTATTTCTTGCTTAATTTAACATGCTCTGTAATCTCATAAAGCTTCTTTAAACTCAAAATTTTCGGGCGGTAACCTTTCTCTGTCAGTACCGGATATTTCTAGTAATTCCTTAATACAAGTAGAAGAGAAAGCGTGATATTCGTCACGTATTCTTCATACGAATTTGAACAGACAGTCACGTCATAGATCTCGAAAGTACCGATTGCAAAACAGAAAAATTCATGAAAACCCAACTTCTAAAACGTGTAACTATAGCATTCCTATAAAAAGAACGTAATAGGTAAACACCATTTACGAAATGGAACCTTTTTAAGAAAAGGTTGTCAATAGTTCCGTAAATCCTGAAACTTTGATATCGTAGGGAATAGTAATAAACCGATAGATTTTTCTTTTTTTTTCCCTTTTTTAGTACGTAGTGAAGCATTGATCTTTCTGAAACCACGTAAGGATATCTGTTTACTTCAATATGTGTAATGCTTTAGTAGCGGTTTTGCTAAATTTAACACTAGAACTACCGATGATAAATGCATATTTGCTTCGATCGATGGATAAACGTGACAAACTTCTGAAAATTTATAGAAATTGATTAATTTCTTGACTTTCATATCGTAATAAAAGGTGCAAAAGATCTGAGAAAATGTATTGTCATAACATTTTAATCGTCGTTGTAAGAGTGTATTGACAAGTCATTTTCACTTGCTTGGTAGTTCTAGTGTTAAGGATACAGATTGATAAATTAAGCGGCACATTTTTCTTTAAAAATCTAAACTGTTGTTTTCGAACAACTGTAAGGTGAACTTTTGGCCAGGCTAACGCTTGGTTGGTACTCGAACGTATGTGAAAGCGACGAAAGTTATTCGAACACGACATCGTTTCTGTTGTTACCGCCATTGTTCACGGAAGTGTCACGAGAAATTTCTTTTTATCGGAATACCGCGTGTCATGGTGCAGTCACGGCAACAACTCACGATCCTTACGTGACTACCGACGGTGGAATTCTCAGGATTATTTGGAAACCTTTCTGTTATTTAACTTAATCCTGCTCGCTCACAATGACACACCACTCGGTAATATTCGGGGAAAAGCATTAAGTTTTTTTTAATTGGTCGCTTAGGACAACACATACGTTTCCAAAAGAATTATCTTGAAATATTATGTTTTAGGGTTGACTTTTATGAACAGATAAAATCTCAGGTATTCGTCCGATTTATTAATGAATTCTGGCTTTTATACGAGGCATGTATAATACATACACTGTTCACTTTTACTTTCTGGCAGAAGGCTTCTGCTTAGGTGATTTTAAAATTTCAGGTGTTTCGTTGACAATGTTGACTATGTATTGTAATTCTTTAAAGGTTTATATTGTCGCTAATGGTTTTATATTATCACGAAACGGAATGAGCCTTTTATATTCCAACACATTTCGTGATTTATAAATTTTGGTGAACTATGCTGCATCTAGTGTATCTATCAGTACAGTAGCCCAATTTTTAAAGAACGATGATAATGAAGTTAATAGTCGCTTATATTTTCAGGAAACTGATTCTAGAGATGCATATGGGTTTTCTAAAAAGTTATATTGACTTAAGGACATTTTCATCTAGACATCATTACTAAATATAATATTATGTTCAATAGAGTATAATACAATAATATTCGATTTTATATTACCCGACTATAAACTTTACACATACAGAGTGTCCCGTAAAGTGAAGTACTATTGCGCAAGATGTGATTCTTCATGAAACAATCATTTCAACTTCAGTTTCGATTTATTTTTTCATGGAAAATCGCTTCCTACTCGATAGTATCTAGTACACTTTGAAGGACACCCTGAATTATTTTACAATTTTACATAAAACCTCCTTTCCAAGGTAAATTTATCAAACTTCGCAAAAAATATATTTTCAAAATGCACGTGTTATTTTGCTTCTAGCTTGGATGGTAGATCCTGCAAGGACGAGATGTGCAGGATGGGAATAGGCACCGGATACTGCGAAGGAAATCTAAACTTTGCCACGGTCTCGGAAGATGACGAAGTTTATACCAAGAAGAAGGTTTCTAGGGTGAGTACTTGATTTATACATATTATACAGAGTGTTCGGATAGGCATTGTAAACTTTTATACGTTAAAAAACGTAGTATACGACAACAAAGATGTATTTTAGAAATTAGTATGATACGATACAGCATATCCTACACTTGACAATGCTAGCTGGTAAAGTTCACCAAGCTATAACTGGTACTCCTTCCGTAGCCTCCTGTTATATTTGTGGAGCCAAACCATCCGAAATGAATGATTTGACCTTAGTTATTAATAAATTAATACGGTTTATCCACCCTTCGTGCCTGGATTCGGTACATCACGTAAATTTCCCTGTCAAAGTTAACGGATGTCGTATTTCTAAAGAAGTACTTTTACCGTCACGGCAGTTCAATTACAATTAGGATGCTAGTAATACGGCGTTAACCTTGAATCACTATTTGTCCTGCATGATTTCAACACAACATTGTATAAGTGATAAAACAAAAGACCAGAATTACGGTGATTCGCAAAGTGTTTATACAATAAGTGTTGTATATCAACACTAATACTATTTAAATCTTCTTCGTATTAGTATTAGTCATCCGTGTACTTTCTGTTGGCAATTTAGCAAATAAATCCTCGACAGAAAACATCTCAAATTCTTCCCTCTATGATCTCATCCTTTCCTTATTATTTATCCTCGAACTTTGCTCTCAACACCTCATCTCTTGCTGACCTTTAGACTGAAGAAAACCTTCACCCTATATTACCGAACCTACATCTTACACACATTGCTCTAAAAATTTAGCATTATTCTCCGAACAGTCTCCACATAACCGCCCAGAACCGATGTAAGAAATGTATATTACACGCGTAAACGTATTTCGCTCAAGTTTCCGTGCTTGTTTTGAGTTTTTAAAACCCTTTGACTGCGGACAACGCCTATAGACGCCCAATGTAAAATGCTCATTTGGTACATACATGCATACATACATACCCAGATAGCACATGATCCTTTGAAGACGCCCATTTTACGGCTATTTTTGGTCTAAGGCGCCATTAAGCCGTCATTAAGCCGTCTGTGTGCTATCTGGGTATGTACATACATATACCTATACCTATGTTCATACCAAATGAGCATTTTATACATATATGTATATACAGTAGAATCTAACTTTAATGCCACTGAACACATTGCCACATGAGTTACTTCCCCTTCATACGTACTTTCGCGCACACACATTCGCTCTCCCACCACGTTGCGTACGCCGGCGCACCAGCACGATTCAGTTTTTGCGCAGTCTGTGTGTCTGTGCGCGCGCGCGCGCGTGTGTTTGCGTGTTTGCAAATTACTTTTTTTTTTAATTAAATCTAACTGCAAAATAGTGAGAAAAAAAAATAATTTGGGTGAGTTATTTTTATTAGTAAGGAACCACGCAATGTTAAGTAGTGTGCTGTGTATCGTGGCGGCTGTTGCTACCACTGCGTTGCGTGATTGACATTTTTCGTTCCTGAGTGGTCCGCAATCATAAGGTTAAATAAAACAACCGGTCAACGGAATACAAGAAATGTATCCTGCCCAGGAATATACATATAGTGTCTGTATAAAGAAAGCCGGATTTCTCGGAGCCACGATTCCGAAGCGCCCACGACTTACGTCCTGACGCAATAGTCTAGTTAGTAGCTAGCGTCATGTTCCACGAAGACCAGCTATCATAGACATATATCGAGTTTCTCGGTAAGAGCGCTCGCGAGCGACCGGAAGGCCGCGTCAAAATCTGTACGCGGGGAGCAGCCCGGTATTTAGGCCAGCGTAGAGAAAGGTTTTCCGTGTTGTCGAATCAGTTAGTGACGCAATTACTAGTTGCGGCGGCGATGACGGTCACGTTTCTCGAAAAACGAGGGATTGTGACACCGTGCGTCCGGCCGAAATGGGAACCGCACGCTCGCCGCGTACATTCTATTAATTCCGTGTCTATTTTGGGACCGGTTTTCGCTAACTTTTAACAAGTTCATTTCGTCTTGTAGTTTTTATTCGTGCGTCGTGACTCGTCTCTTGACATTTCATTCAAACGGTTCGTGTTACACTTGTTGTATTTATGGGCCGCTGGCTGCCAGCCGCGTGTGCCCGCATCGTCGCGGTGCATCTGCTTCGAGGAGCGCACCTGTTACAGTCGTTTACAAATAATTCAGACTGCTACAAATCTGACACCACTTGGCGCTGGTGGACGCGGACCAGGTGTAACGCATTTTTTACACGAATCTCGATCCTGCCCTCATGTAAAAACGGGAGAATCTGTGTTAATTTTGTTCATGTTTTAGCAAAACATGAAAGCCAGACTTTTATGTAACTTGGTAGGTACTGGCTTACAAAAAGAGGGCCCCAACTTCAGGTCACCGATTTTCATGAAAGTTTTTAGACATATAGTGGTCGTTTTCCTCTTTACCAATCCCCCCCCCAACATATAAGAACAGATGCTCGAAAGTTTTTGAGTTATTTTCTTTTGGAAGTTTCCACGTAACTTGAATACAAGTTATGTTGCCAGATAATTCACAGGTATTATAGGGTTGGGACAACGTATACAGTTTCCATCTTACCAGCCAGAGTTCAAATACGTTCCAAATACGTTCAAAAATCTTTGCAAAGGACAAATTTAACGTAGGTATACCTAATCCAAACTCTAGACGTCACGATAGAAACCATGAGTATTATCTCGATGCTACAATACCTGTGAATAATTAAATATAACTTGCACTTAAGTCAGGTGGGAAACTTCAAAAGCAAATACATATAGAATTAAAAAAATTTCGAATATTTCCGCTTACATATGGGGGATGATTTTGTAACGTGGAAGTAGCCTGCTACATGTCCTAAATGATTCGTCAAAATCGTATATTAGGGCCCTTTTCTTGTTAGACAGTTTCTTTAATTAGCTATCTAAATTTGTATAGTAAATATTTCGATATGTAATGACGTCTATAACCAATGACGCACACAGTGTTCAAAGGTGACATGTAGCTTTTTTAAAAATGAGTTGAAACCATCGATTCAAGATGCACTGTAATTACATATTTACATTAAAAAAGAGTGAAATAAAATAAAGTGGGTCCATGTGGAAACTAACACTTCAATTTTACCTGAGATTTTCGACGTATCCGGTTCCAAAAAATTTATTCCTCAATTTCTTTAATAGTTATAGATTTATTGGGTTTATAATATTTGAATGGGATTTCACTGGTAAATTTTATGAACTTTATACTGCTAAGAAATTGAATAAATGAAAATTGAATTTTTCAAACCCGAAGAAGGTTTAGACTTCTTAAAAATGGTATCCAAACTTTGACTTCGTTATCTTTAAATGATCATAAAATTATGAGGGTCTGAAAACCTTTCCGCCTTGCCACAAATGCTCCGAAGCGGAACCGAGTTCGTCGTACTCATCGAGACATTACTGTACCTTGAAACGTGTAGGGTACACAGTGTGTTTTTGCAATAAAGGAAGGAGCTATATTAATCATTATCATTTACAAAAGTAACATCAAATATACTTATTACTAAATCGGCCATTTCATGTACAACGACCGACGAATATTATCTTGCTTCAAATTTGTATCGTATATCGGTATACTGTATTATTATCTATTCTTAAAAATATGTATATTATCATCTTACGGAAGCAAGACCAAAAACATAGAAGAACACTTCAGACTTTTCACTTGTTCATAAATTCAAGGTGGCGTACACAATTGCTTGCGTGCCTGTGTTTGCGCACGTGCATCGTTTCAGCCGACAGAGACGCACGCACGAGTGACTTGGATGCACGTGTTTCTTTCCGCCGCGCCACGTCGATACGGGGCTCTCGTAACTACTTTTCTCGTTCGTTTATCGCGCCTACACGGACGGTCGATCAAACTGACGCATACCGATATCTCTATCAAGGGAATTTCGGAAAACCACAATTTTCGATTTTTTTTTTTTTTGGAATTTCATAGATTTATAGGGAGCCTCGATAAAAGTATTAGGAGGAATGTTTCTTTTTGGTTCATCAGGGTGAAAACACATCTTAAGGGTACATTCTGGTATAAACGCGTTAAAAAAGCCGGCTTTAGACCATAAGAAAGTTCGATTAGTAAATTAACGAAGAAGGGATCTACGAAATGCTTAGAATGTAATGAAGAAGCGGTTGATCATCTTTAATAACGACTTAAATTATTTAAATTTTTATTAAACAATTTTGTTACAAAACGGCGAAATATGTAAATTTCAAATTTCCATATTGGTTCAGAAACACTAAGGTTTATATGATGCGATAATTCACTATTGAGGAGAACGGACGGAACGATAACCCGAAAGCAAAATACACAGTAGTAATAACTGTACTAATTGCTTCAGTCATTGCCTCTACACCTGATAAAAAAGTTGAGACTTCTTCTGGGAAAAAATTGGGAAGCTGTAAATGCTCCGTGACCGTACCATAAACCGATGTTAGGGACAACCGGCAACCGCACCGCTCCGCCACACTGCAGAATGCGCAGCATGGTTTCACTGTCGTTCAATTTAGAGACACTTCCAAAATTGTATTTCAACCTAAACAAAGTGTCATATGATGGAAAAATGTTCACCAGAGGAATACATATGAGTGCTAGATAGAGTCCATCACGGTAAAATGATTTTTTTTCGCGAAAAACTGACCTCCGTGTACTCAGTACACGTACGCGCCTGCCGGCTGGTTATGGAAACTTTTCCTAACAACAAGTGTCCAAATACTTCTGGACGGTAGTATAGTAAATATTATACACATATATATATGTGACACAAGCAACAAAATCCAAATATGGATTGAATATCCAACACGCGCCATTAATTTATAATGTTTATAATGTGTTTGGTCCAATCTCTAGTTTCAACGTGTTCCTTTTCACTTGTTTGTTCGATCATGTGACACGAAACTCTGGAATATTATGTGGCTTTCATCGCTGGCCGTTTATGCTAATCTATAATTTATCTCAGAATGTCAAGATCACCAGGAAGATTCAATG